GCTAGATGACTGCTTTTAGTGGGAGTCAAGCAGTCCAGACAAAATCTTGCAGTTCTTAGATTATAAAGATCTAATGGACTCGATAAGTAATTGAAAATGAGGATGAACAAAATATTGGAAATATTGTGAGGAATGGTCAACATATATTAAAAATCAAAATGGTAAAAATTCAGGTTAGAGAGGTTGATGATAAGAAAGGCAGAAAAATAGGGGAAATAGAGGAGGAACCATGAGAAAGGTATAAGGTAATGACATAAAGAAAAATAATAAAAATAACTTTTGTCTTTGAGATCTGGCATTTTTGGAGAGGAAGTAATCACTGTGAATATTTGTATATTTGAAATAACCTTGGGGCATAAATAAATAATATCAAATAATTAGAATTTGTGTAGCTATGCCATTATTGAATCAATAGTCATAAACAAATGCTGTTTAGCACCCTTCTAAAGATTATAGGCATGAGCCACCATACGAGACACAGGTTGTCATTTTGAAATATCAGTTTATATGTGATATGTGAATAGAATTCCATTATAGTAACTGATTGACAAACTAATTTCGTCAATAGGATGTCCACAACAACACTGTCTACTGTGTTACTGTATCTTATATTGGGCTATTTTTATAAAAATGGGAACAATAGAACTACTCAAATAATCCAGGTAATTAGCAATACTTCTTAATAGGTTGTGAATAAAGAAAGGTATTTTCACCTACTAATAAAAATTGAAACTATAGAAGTTGAATAAAATAGGTTTACAATATTAAAGTGAACATTTCCATTGCATTTTTATAATGGTAACAGGTAAAATTATTCAACGTAATACAAGCGGCATTTAGACTTTTTACGTGAATTTTTATAATGTTAGAATGTAAAGCATGGTACAGTCAATCTGTAGGCCTGTGAATATAGACCACAGCTTACAGTTTATACTATTTTCACCACTGATAAGCTAAGGGTAAGCAGCTACAAAGAATAAATACTAGGATGAAATAACATTTCCTATTGTTCTTTCTTCTCTTGAAGAGCTTAAAACAGGGTAATCATAGGCTAGTTATATTTCCAGCTGGATGATTCTACCCACCTGGGTAGGATGGCAACCTGTCAATATTGTCTGATTCTTTGGGATTTAATTTTAAAGAAAAAGAGAGCGAGTTTCACTAAGCTTTCTTCTACCATATTGCGGGATAGATAGTAGAGAGTACTGAGGCATACCTGAGGTTTCAACCAAGGGGATGACTAGGGTGGAAGGGAATGAAAGTAATATGACTCCATGGAAAATTTTCCTGTGTGAGAAATATTACCTGTACATTTTTATTATGACATATATCATAATGTTTTGAATATAGTAACCACATAATTATTACTAACTAGCTCAGAAAACAGAATGTTTTAATTACTGTTTAGAAACAACTCAACACCAGAAGCCCTTTCTTTCTGTATTCCCATTCAAGTCACACAAAGTTTTACATTGTCCTGAATTATATGTTAAGTGTATTCTTCTCTTTCTTACATTTTAAACACTGATGTTTGTGTTGTTAAAATATATGTCACATATGTTTGTTTTAGAACGTTATATAAATGAACACTTATGGCATTTAGTTTTTGGACTTGATATGTTTGTTCAATATTATGTAAAGAGACAAATCCATGTTCAATCATACTTTCATTTTCTGAACTAAATAGTATTCCATTCCAACATAATATATTTAATGATTCTGCTATGAATAAACATGATACATTAGTATGTAGTGCTAAGAGTTCTTAAATGAATATGCTAAGGAGAATCATTTCTGAATGTAGGATAATGGCATGTTTAAGTTTACCGTTAATAACATTTTGATTTCCAAGGATTTTTCTTTCTCTTTTACAAAGTGATTGAGAGTGTCTATTACTGCTTTACCTCACTATCATGTGATACCATTAGACCTGTATTTTTTTTTTCACTGTTTTAGATTATGTAATGGAGTTTCACTGACTTTACTTAAATTTCTCTATTACTGATTTAAGTTGAACTTATATTTATTTGGTTATATCAGATGTAAAAGGGCCTATTCATACTATTTGTACACTTTTAAAGATGGGAGTTGTCTTTCTTTTTGTTTGTAGGATATTTTATTTTATTCTCAATTATCTTTTGATCATATTTGATGCAAATGTCTTCTTCCTGATTATAGCTTGAAATTTTATTTTCTTTGATTCATATAGTCTTAACTTTAATGTATAATTATGAATACATAAAATTACTATGTTTAAATGACCAGGTTTGTATATATTATAAATATAGTCAATTTTCATAAGTTGTAGATTTAGTATTTGTGAATTCACTTATTAAAACTTATTTGTAACCCTAAAATTAATACTCATTGTTTCATCATGGTCATTTGCAGACATTTGCAGACCAGTGAAAAATTTGAGATGTTCAGTGTGTACATTCCCACCAGAGTTTGAACTGGGTAACTGTCTGTCTGCCTTCTTGTTCCAACCCATATTGTAAAGAAGTGTTCTGTTCATGTTCTAGTTAGTGGCGATGTTTTTAGTTTTGTGCCTTTTGTTGGTGATTTCTCTAACATGGCCCCAAACATAAATCCGAAGTGATGTCTAGTGTTCCCAAAGGCAAGAAAGCTGTGTGTGCCTTATGGAGAAAATATGTTACATAAGCTTGGTTTAGGCAAGATAAGCTGTTGGTCATGAGTTTACTGTTAATAAATCAACAATATATATATATTAGATAAGGTTTCTTTAAAGAGAAACATACATAGGTTAGGTATTAATCAGTTGAGAAAAGCTTTGTGATCAGAGGCTCACAGAAAACTAACTCTGTATTTCTCCTAAGAGCACTGGCTCAATGTTTGCTAATCCAACATTCATGGCAACTTTATAGAAGGTAAATATAACAAATAATGAGAATAGACTATCTCCCTCTCTTTCTCTCTCTCTCTCCTTCCATGTGTGTGTGTGCGTGTGTGTGTGTGTGTGTGTGTGATATAAGCAGATGCTGGTGCCATGCCTCTTGTATGGCCTGCATAACTGTGAGAAAAACAAACCTCTCTTCTTTATAAAAGTGTATGTGTGTGATATATGTGAGAGAGAGAGATATATATATGTTATATATATGTCTGTGTATGTGATGTATCACAAATATATATCACACACAGACAGATATTTTCATTTGCATATACTTGTATATACATATGCAGAAAAACAAAGCAAACACAATGGGATCTTTGGACCTGCTTAGCTGGCCAATAGAAAGTTGTCTATATTTTCTACATTTGTATTCCATTTACAGCATAACAGTGAGTAGCAGCACACTGGTTAGTAAAATCAATTTCAGAATATTTAGATCACAATATTTCTGGAAATGATGATCTTTGTTGTGACTTTTTAAGCATGAACATCCCTGCACTCTCAGGCTAGCAATTGTTATTATTATAAAAACTACTAATTGTTTTGAGAAAATTGTATTCAGGATCACATTTAGAAGTATATCAGCTCTTGCTAATATCATGTCTAAAAACACCGAAAGAAATCACCTTCTAATATATGGTACATGAAAACTACTTACCATAAACTTTTTTTTCATTTATCAAAGTCATGTCCTTTTCTAGGTGCAAGCACCTGGCAGTATTGTTTCCCCGGAGGCATACAAGCAGAACAGCATCTGAAACCAGATGAAAATTAAAGGTACTTATCCAAGTGGAAAATACGGCAAGCGTGTACATTATTTACTACACCTATTAGTTCTTGACTCAACAAATATGGTAAAATGTTTTTAAATGTAGAGGGCTATAGAAGCCATGTACAGACACATAAATCCAAACGGAAACCTTATAAGACTGATCTGCATAATTTAGCCAAAAATAGTTATTTTATTTGAAATATCACTGACTAAATAAAACAGAAGTTGCAGTTGTTTCATTTTTCTGTAAATCATAGTTTTTTTTTGTTTGAATATACTAAATATATAGTGAATGAGGAAATCCTCCTTTAAGTATTCATTGTTTTGTTGTTGTTGTTTTCTCATATAAAACATTCAATTAGACAATTCAGATGAGGAAACTGATTGTTAGAAGGAGTTTGATCTAATCATCTTCTACAGTGGAAAGTGTAGTGCTGAAATTAATAATTATTTCTGCCAGAATACACAATTTTCATTCATCTCACTAAATCAGGATATCTGATAATTGATTGAAATGCAAGATTTATAGTATATTACTTTAGCTTTCCTAATAAAGCAAGTTAGTCTCAAATTAAATATATTTGATAAAGTATTGCAAAAATTTCATCTTGTGGCACTTTAATTTTCAAAACATAATATTCTTTCAGTGAAGGGAATGTTAGCATAAGATTTAATACTAGCATTCACTTATTTAAATTTAGCTAATCAGATATATTCAATCAAGTTACATATGAATACTTAATTAAAATTATTTTGATTAACATTCTGGCTTACAGGAGATGAACGTTTATATATTGCGTTTATGCAAACGCAAAATGATTATGTTCATATCTTCAATAACTACTAATTTGTCTATCCAAACCTATTTCACATTGACAACAATTTTTAAGGTAGAAATATCTAAAATTGAAAATATTTGACAATTAATATTTTGGTTATTTTCATATGGGATATTCAGTCATTAAATTACACTTGAGAAGAATAACTAATACTCAGGATTTTTATTATATATTTAATATATACGTGATGAGCAGGAGAAGAGAAAGCTAAGAGAGACAATAAATAAATAAATAATTTTTAAAGATTTTTTCTTTATCTTTTCTTCAATACCCAAAATCTTCTCACACAACCTTGAATTACATTTCTGTAGAAAAGTTTAAGTTCTTAAAATATTTTAACTTTATGATGAATAATAACAAATTCATTTTTTCTGTCTTCCCCACACACATACAGAAACACAAATATATGAAAAAGCCAAAAGTACCCTTGCCATAGTCCATCTGTGCTGTTATAACAAAACCCCATAATCTGGGTAGCTTATAAACAACAGAAATTTATTTTTTATAGTTCTGGAGGCTGGGAAGTCCAAGATCAAGACATCTGCCAATGAAGTGTCTGATGAGGATCCATTTCATGATTCCTAGAAGGCGTCTTCTTGCTGTTTGCTTGTCTAGTGAAAGGGACAAGTTAGTTCTCTGATTCCTCATTCATAAGGATACTAATTCCCTTCATGAGGGTTCCATTTTCATTACCAAATCACCTCCCCCAAATCTCCATCTCCTTTTATCATCACCTTGGGGGTTAGGATTTGAACCCATAAATTTGGTGGGGTCACAAACATTCAGACCAAAGTATTTCTTAATGAGGCACATAACATTTCCTCATTGAAGAGCTGTTTGTTTTTCATGAGAAAATCAGTATTTCCACCGGAAAGAGGCAGTGGCTAGAACATATGCAATAGGTTCAAGGCCAAAAAACAAAAGTATTATTCATGGTCACTGATTGGAGATCCAGTAGTTGGCCTGCATGCATGCATAAAGATCAAGCATTTTATTGTAAATAAATGTATTTTTGATGCTTTGGTAAAACTATCACTTAATAGGAAGGTTGGGTTTTCATGACAATTATTTTATGGTTAGTAATTTTTTATATAACACATAGTATTGGAGGATACTTACGTATTTTCAGTAGAAAAGTCTGTAAAGATTGGATTCCAGCTCATTTCTGCTTTCTTATCTACTGAGGAACACAGAGATGGAAAATAAAAACCTAATAATGAAAAGGAGAGGGTTACCTGGAAGAGCAACAACACAAAGAAGATAAATAAGGCAGGATCGCAAGCAATGGCCTTAGTCGGTAAGCCATACTTTGGTTTGATGAGCTTTCTCCAAAAGTATATGAAGATGCTACTGAGCATGCCAGTTACACTTACCTTCTCCGAGCAGCACATAGGTATCAGTTTCTCACCTGCCAGAACAGATGTCCTCTATGAGGAGTTGTTTTATATACATTCATTTTACTTTACTTTCTCACTAAAACTTGAATTAAATTTTTGTAGAAAAGTTTAAATTCTTAATATATTTTAACTCTATGATGAATAATAGCTTTTTTCTATCTCACAGATACATATACACAAACACATATGTAAAAAGCTAAAAGTAACCTTGCCTTAGTCCACCTGGGCTGCTACAGCAAAACCCCATAATCTGGGTAGCTTATAAACAACAGAAATTTATTTGTTATAGTTCTGGAGTCTGGAAAAGCAGTAGTCAGTTTACTTCTCCAGGTCCTCATTAACACCGTTTTTCTTCATTCTGAGTGACAGGGACAACTAATATTTGTTTTGAAGAATATTTAGCAAGACGGAAAAATCAAATAGAGATCTCCAAACTTTCTAGGTTGTTGTGGGAATTTAATTTTTGGAGACAGTAGTCTCATGTAATATAGGACTTGAGGAAAACTATGCTTTATTTTCTAGAATAACTTGGATACTTCTCTGCTGTCAAAAGAAATGAGCTCTAGGAAATTTTCCCCATCTTGGTGGAAATATTAATGTGTTAAATATCTCTCAGTTGTACCTGGAAACTTGACATTGCTAAAAGTTTATCTTCTAAAGCAAAAGAATTGCATTCCACTGGCATTCACCTGTAATAAATATAAAGTGCACTGAGTATTACCTGGTAAGATGGAGAGTTAGATCTCATGTCCAAATCTCTTCTCATTTAATGTCCTTACATTAATAAATTTGCTGAACAAAGAGATGAAAATTTTATCCAGACTAAAACTTGAAAAGGAATTTCTGATATCCTACAGATTATGAAATAATTTTTCTCTATAATGAAATCTGGAACAAGCTCATAGAGGATACCAGCTTCCAATAAATGACTCGCTGCAAGTGGAGTCCCATGTTCTTATCAGCACATAGAAGAGATTTTGAAGGACTCCCCTATTAATATTTTGAAAATCACAGAGGAGCCCTAACTGAAGGAAAAGTCAATCATCCAAATGATTTGTTTTTTATTTTGACTTGATATCCTGAAAAAAGGCAAATGGTATGAAGACAAGCTTGCTTTATAGCTGAGGACTGAGGTGATGGTATACATAAGGGCATGTGTCTCTACTCTCAGAGAAAAATAGCTTGGGATATGCCACAAAAACAAAGAGCACTGTGGGCCACTCTCCATCAGTTTCTCACCAATGTAGTTGTTTAGCATAGAATAGGAACTACACTGATATCTGTGGTTAATCCGTGATGAAAAATTTAAGTCCTGTAAAAGGGCAAAACCAGCTCATTGCATCAGATGATACATATTTAGAAATGAAGCACACATATGTCTGTGACTTAATATTCAGTCAAATTTTCCCTTCTTTTTCAGGCAACTGATAAGTTAGTTTCACACTGTACTATGTTACCATCCAGGGACATAGTCATATTTAATTTCTCAAGGTGAAGAAAATATGGTGGTAGGCTGATAAATTCAGTAACTATTGTTGAGCAAATTGCAGAGCTTCACAGAATTGTCTTAAAAAGTTAATTTCATCAATCAGAGTAACTAAGGAAAAATTCCTAAGTATAATACAAAAAAAAATTACTGTTTAAATTTACTGTGTAAAGGCTTACAATTACATGGCGTCTGATAGCTCAATACTTACCTGTTTTTTATTTTATTTTAAGAATTACTCTAAGAAGTTATAGATAGCAGATAGATAAAAATTTTTGAGATCAGAGAGTCTTTGAAATAAAATGATCTCAAGGATAGTATCCAATGGGAAATCCAGAATGGAACTATGGAGAATAAACAACAGTGAGAGATGGAGAGGTGGGAGAGAGAGATATGGAGGGGGGA